TACATATATATAAATATTAAACTTTCTCATATTTGTGGAGTTAAATGAGAAAACTGATGATACTAAATTAGCTTAGCATATACCCGGCATAAAAACTTATTACAGCAGGAAAACGCTGGCTCTATCTGAAGGTAAACTCATGAAAAACTCAACACTCGTAATGCTGAACATACAGTCTGAAAAAGTCATAAAAAGTATTATTGCAGTAACATAAGACTATCAGTAGGACTATATAAAACTATCTTCCTGAAACGTAGTTAGCTGCGATAAGCTAACTAACGCTCCTGAAATTATAGAAATGGTCTAAAACACAAGCATCACAAACATTAGTTTGAAACTAAAATAAAACTTGGCCTGTAAGCTTCTAATTTCACGTATTCATAGCTTATAGCTCACCAGTGGTTGTGTGGCCCACTTTAGCATGATGTAGATTTAGGTTTTTTTAAAACCCCAAACCTTTATAAGCCTTCATTTGCACATCAGGAGGCACTGCAGAAAAGGGTTAACTCACGTTTTAACACTGGATGCTTGTTTCTCCTTCTCAGCTGTTTGATCGAGAGCTGTGCGTTCGTCAGCTGCGCTACTCTGGCATGATGGAGACCATCCGGATTAGGCGGGCGGGTTATCCAATCAGATACACCTTCGCCGAATTTGTGGATCGTTACCGAGTCCTGATGCCTGGCGTCAAACCTGCTCACATACAGGTCAACATTAAAATCAGTCATCTGTTTCACTGCTTAGTCCTGACAGATTATTTTAGCTGAGATATTATCATTATTATTAAAGAATCTTTTACTTAGATTACAGAATGATGGATTTTTAGAGCATATATCCACATTAATACAGCATATAAAACACAGTGTAGAGGCTATTTGAGCTTCCAGTCTTGTATCAAATATAATTACGGTATATTTACAGCAGCATACCCTTGTTTAAAAATGTGAATATGGTTTGGAAAGTATTTGAAGCCGTCTTTAATGAATTTTGACCTTAAATTAACTTACTTAAAAAATATATTTGGATATATTTAATAAATGTTTGTTAAATTTAAAACTGACACATTGCTACATAACCTTCTTAACTCTTTCCCCCATTGAGACAACATTTAATGACCTCCCCTGTAGCGTTAATGATGAGTTTTGACATTTTTTACTATATATCAGTAAAGTTGTGGTTTGTTCTGGATTTTTCCAAGATCCCCCTGACATCAGTCATTTTGTTTTATAGGCAGGAAATCTAATATGACAGCTCAGAAAGTTCAGAGAAGAGAAACGAGGGTTACCCCAGTAGGTGTCTAAGGTCGAAAGAGTTAAACTGACTGTAATTCAACGTTTCCTTAATTCTGATGAAAATCTTAATGATAAACCTTAAAACAAAGTACAAATTCATGTCAGGAGTCATTATTTCTCATTTTTTCTTTCCAGGAGGACTTACAGGGAACCTGTCAGCAAATAGTCCAGGCCCGGCTGGGAAAACATGATGACTGGCAGATTGGAAAGACTAAAATCTTTCTAAAGGTTGGTTTCCTCATGTGAAAGTTAGCTTACTGAGGCCTTGATCCAAAGACTTCTGAATATTCGGCAGAATATTAGTCAGTTTAGGCTCCTGGTGATGTAGCAAAAGGCTTTTCTGCCTTAAAAAAAGTTTTAGACCTTCTTAATGAAGCTCACTGCAGTGTCCATCTGTGTAAATGTTGAACAAGGTCTTTAGTTCATTTATCACAGGATTTCTTCTGCAACTCAATAAACTTTTTGGATTTTGCAGGTTCTTTTTAACATAGCAGCAAAAAGAGAAAACACAAGCATGCTCAATCAGTCAATGACATTCACTGCTGTCATCCCCAACCAGACACTTTGAGGGGGCAAACCATCCTAGCAGGTCAATTGTATGTGGTTAGGGTATACACTAGGTAGAAATGCTGTACTTCCTGGCTGTTTCTACTGTTCTTTTCTAATAAAAGCAAAATCACCAAAAACTTTGATGACCAAGAACATTTTTTACTTTAATAGCTCAAGTTTGTTCCCTCTAGACGAATTGTCTCAGTATGGGTCCCCAAGGCAAAAAACACGAGCTCCTATAAAGATAATTTCAAGTGTTTTATTTAAGTTATTAAACATAGTTTTGGCAAAAGAGCTCTACTGTGCCTTTTTGTTGCATATTATAATTTAATAACTTTTCTTTTCTTTATTTGCCACTTTGTCTCCTTTCAGGATCACCACGACATGCAGCTGGAGATAGAGAGGGACAACGCCATCACCGACAAGGTCATCCTTATCCAGAAGGCTGTGCGTGGGCTTAAAGAGAGGTAAGCAACTTGTAGGCGATTCCCAAATATCAAAAGTGTTTGTAGCTCATTGGAATAATGCTCTCTTCTTCCTTAAAGTGTAAAATTAGGTCCAGCATATATACATATCTTTGGTTTACCACAGCGTGAAGCAAAGGAGTAATGAAAAGAGATTTCTGTCTTAACCTACAAAGATAAAGGTTTGAAATCTAGTTTGTTTCCTTCTGTCACTCCTCCAAGAACAAACTTCCTCAGACTGAAGGGCGCTGTGACTGTTATTCAGAAGGTCTGGAGGGGTTACCGGTGCAGAAAGAATTACCAAATTGTGAGTTGTCTACATCAACAGCCTGTTTTTCTGTAGTTTTTTATGCACTGAAATATTCTGAAAGCCTCAGTATGTATTTGTTTCTCCCAATTTTCATCTGTTCTCTCAGTTTTTTGTTTTCAAATTTGCAAGGTCTTCTTAAACCACATTAAAACGAGATAGAGTGCAGTGGTAGCTCTTTCTTTATTTTATTCCAAGTTGCATAAAATTGAGCCTGGTCGTTTTTACAATCTTGCTTCTTGCAAATGTTAAAGACATATGAAAACATTCTTTCCCCAAGATGTAGTCATGTGCGAGCCTCAGCACACGGTGTCCAATATAAACAATTACAACACCAACAAAAAACAAATTAAATACATAACAATAATCCCTGACCTGTCAAACGCATTCCCCTCCTTCAGATGCAGTCCGGCTTCTTGCGCCTCCAGGCCGTCTACAGGTCGAGGAAGCACTACCGAAGCTACCGGACGACTCGCCTTCGTGTGACTCTCATCCAAGCCCGTTGCCGCGGTTTCCTCATCCGGCAGGCATTTTGGCGGCGTCTTCGTGCCGTGTTGACCATCCAGGCCTACACCAGGGGCATGATAGCCAGACGCCTCTGCCAGAGGCTCAGGGCAGAGGTAAATAGTTACTACATTTACTACTGCTACCTAAATCATGTTGTAGGCGGGTCAGGAAGACGAGAACACTGGTCCTGAGGGCAGACTGACAGATGGAGGTGAAAGATAATATGGCGTCTTTATTATATTTTATCTGTGCTAGATGCAACTGAACACAAGTTTGTTACTTTGATGAAGAGACAGACAATATCATTTTCAAGTCTACCCAGTTAGCTTAGCTTAGCATAATAAGTGGAAAAAAAGGGTTCACCTGTAGCTTCTGTTCAAAAGTTACAGACTTAGTATAGATCTACATAGCTACCAGCTCCAAAAAGTGAAGCCAATGCAGAAGTGCCTTAAACCTCCATATTTTTTTTGTAATGACCAGAGCAGGGGGTCCTGTGTTTGCAAAAACCTCATAGCCTCTTTTGATTTATGATCTCATTAAACCCTTTTTGATGAGTTTATGGCCTCAGTCACTAGTTTTATGCCTTGTTTAATAATGTCAATTTTGTAACTTAAGATCACATTAAGAGTCCTATTTAGTAAGCAGTGGTTATCAACACTGTGGCTGATCAGCATTTTGTATACAGTCTGTACTAACAATATCCAAATGAATCTCAGTCAGAAACATATAACTCGCTTATTAGTGCCATTTATCTTATTTAATGCTAAAATAATTTTTAAAATAACACCTTTTGATTTTGTTACCTTCAGAAAAAAACGATTTCTTTATGTTAAGCTGCTCTGGTGGCTCTGGCTTCACATTTTCATGAGAATAGCAATTATGTGAATAACTTAATTGCGACAACAGCCACTAAAGAATTAGGGAGTTAATATAAACGTCAGCGTGCCGTTACAAAAATCTTTTGATTTCATCCTTTGATAAATAAAAGGCCTCTAATCGCCAATCATTTTATTTGCTACAATGAGCAAAATGATTCAATGAAGTAGCAAAATAATCCATAATTGAATCTTACCTTTTGATTTTTGTATCAGTCATGTCAGGCTTTATTTAAAAAAGCGACCAAGTTTTTTTTTTTTTTTTGGATTCAAAAGGAAATCCCTGTCATTCCAATGAAAATGTTTAATGTGTGTGTATGTGTTTTTTTTAAATATGCTTGGTTAGGATGTAATTTATTCAGTTATAATGTAAAACCCCAACTTATTGAAAGTGTTCCTGAGATCATGCAGATATTTCCATGACAGACTCATACATATTTTTAATGAAGTGGTGCCTGAGGACCCGAAGATCATAGACATATTATTGATTTTAGCCTTGTCCCTTGCGCAGAGATTTCTCTAGATTTTTCTCAGTCTTTTGATGGTATAATGTGCATTAAAGATGAGATATTCAAAGTCTTGGCAATTTTACGTTGAGGAACTTTATTTTGAAATGCAATTTTTAGAGAACATCTGCCTATCATTACTCCCAATAAACTCTGCCTCTCTAAGAAGCTCTTTTTTTACCCAATCATGTTACTGACCTGTTGCCAAATAAGCTGATTAGTTGTAAAGATTTTCCTCTATATGTTTCTTTTTATTGCCACTTACTTTTCAGCCTTTTTTTTCCCCTCTCTCCAAGTTTTTTGAGACATGTTGGTCCCATCAAATTAAAAATTGCCTAATATTTTTCATTAAACAGTAAAATGTCTCAGTTTAAACATTTGATTTGTTTTGTGTTTTATTGTGAATAAAATATGGGATTATGACATTTAGAAATCATTGGATTCTGTTTTTATTTACATTTTACACAGCGTCCAGCCGTCTTGGAATAAAGGTTGGACAGTTTGGTTTATCATGTGGTCAGACATAAGATGAAAATATTAGTGCTGGGTATTTAACTCTGAGTGGGGTTGTCATCTTGGTGGTGGTCCTGGAAGTTGCCAAGCCACGCTCACATCATGTGATTGGTTAGGTCACATGAGTTGCCTCTGCTGGCCTTCATTGGGTTTAGGGTAGTCACGGCTCAAAGGCCCATTCTGAGCCAGGATTTGTTAGTGTGAGTTTAAAAATTTTTTTAGATCTTTTGCAAAGTTTTGTTTCACTTGTCTTTATATATTCTTATATTTATTCTTTCTGTATTAAACTCTGTTGGCCTAAATTATGTCACCATAAAACTATTTTTAACACATTATGTTACAGCGATTTTATATAAAAGTCTGTAAAGCTGTTTTCATACATGCACTGCAGCTCTGAGCTGTGATAAACACGATTCGATGGATTCACATGTGAGAATGCAAATGTCCCATGTAGTCAGGTCAGTCTTTAACCTGCCAGCGCTGACATGCTGGTTCTCAGAGTATTTCCAGTTGCTCGGTGCAGACTGTTTTCCCCTGTGTGCTACATCTTTGAGAGCATAAATGTGGGTAATATCCTGACCTGAGTCTCAGGAAATTGTCCAGAATTTATGTGTGAAAACAGCTTTTGTAAACTATGGAAATGTTTGTTAGCTTTTCAACTTTTTCAGGGTAAAATTGCTATTTTTATAAGATTTTTTCCCCCTGAAGACTGTTAAATAAAATATTGTATTTTGTAAATGTTTGCTTAATCTCATTTTCTTATTAAATTGAACGTTCAGGGAACTGTAATATTCTCGAACATGTCTGCAGTTCAAGCGAAGAGCGTGAGGTCTCTAGGAGCACCGCAGCAGAGCGGGTGACAGACCAGAGGCAGCTGCTGCTGCGTGTTATCATGCTAAACATGTTCATGTGTCAGAGTGTTACAGTGTTGACCTCTACGCTGTTTTTATTCGTTGTTGGTTATGTTAGTGTGTAGAAGTTTAGATTTATTCTTCTGTGAATAGCTCATACTTCATGTCGTGTTCAGCTTTAAACAATATTCATAATCTTTGTCGACTATTATCTAATGATAATGATTTGGTAGATTAGTGTCTACTCTAGTTTTGACTAACAGTTAATAGAGAGCAAGACAAACAATAAGATAACAGAGAAAATGTAAGCATAATGCTCCATCTTCCTCTGTGAACTCTTGTCCCTCTGTTCCTCCTCTCACCTCCCTCTACAGCTGCAGCATCGACTGGAAGCTGAGCGCCAGCGCCTGGCTGAGGAGGAGCAGCTGCGAAACCAGATGACAGTTCGGCGGGCGAAGGCTGAGGCTGAAAGGAAACACCAGGAGCGGCTAATCCAGCTGGCACAGCAGCAAGAGGACAGGGAGCGGGAGGAAAAGGAGGAGTCGAGGAGGAAGAAGGAGCTGCTGGAGCAGATGGAGAGGGAGAAGGAGCAGCCAGTCGACCACTCGGACATGGTTGACCGTATGTTTGGTTTCTTGGGGAACTCCGGGCCACTGCCCAACCAGGATGGACAGGCACCAGCTGGTTTTGAAGTATGTATATGTGGGTTTTGTAGTCCAGAAAAGATGTCTGATTAAATCATCCATTAGCTAGGATTCCCCCCTCCGGTTTTTGAGGGGGACACATGGGGTTCTTGGGTTTTTTTTCCAGGAAATGTCAAATATGTAATTTCCTTAATTTCTGGTAATCTGTGCATACCCCTGCATGCATTTATGATGGAAATAATATAAAGATAATATCCTTGGCCCTACAGAGGTTGCATGAATACTTCAACTCCTTCAGAATGGAATATCAATACATGTCATTGCCAAGAGGTGTGCTGTGTCTACTATCTCAATGTCAAGAACATGGAGACAGGCGATTACTTGAGGAGAGCTGGACAGGGCCATAGAAGGCTCTTAACCCATCAGTGGACCAGTATCTGCTCCTTTGTGCGAGGAGGAACAGAATGAGCACTGCCAGAGCCACAAAATGACCTCCCGCAGGCCACTGGTGTGAATGTGTTCACACATTATTACTTCTAGGCTACTACTGTCATTCATTATTATCAGGATGTGCTAAAAACTCCCTGAAAAGCCTTCAGTTAATTCAAAATGCTGCAGCAAGAGTACTGATGGGGACTAGAAAGAGAGAGCATATTTCTGCTCTATTGGCTTCCCTTCATTGCCTCCCTGTTAAATCCAGAATTGAATTCAAAATCCTGCTCCTCACATACAAGGTCTTAAATAATCATCTCATCTTAATGACCTTGTAGTACCAGATCACCCCATTAGAGCACTTCGCTCTCGCTCTGCAGGCCTACTTGTTGTTCCTAGAGTATTTAAAAGTAGAATGG